CACTTAGACTATTACTCGTTCAGTAAGCTACGTTTATGTATTCTTTCTTAAAAAAACGGGCAATATTATTGGTTGGTTCACCCAAATATGACAATATCCTATAACTGACCACATATATATATTTTTAAGCGTATTGCTTTTATCGTGATGTTTTTGTATTGGACTGAATATTTATTAGGTAGTTAAGTAATGTACTTTTATCTCGAAACATGTGTTTGCTCTCTTATCGAGTATGTATCATCTATGTAAAAAAATATTTATTGTATAAATATTCTCATTACTGTGCTAGCTTTTTGTATTACACTTGTCATTTCCATGCATATTTTTAAGTGTGATGCTTTTTTTTCGTAATGTTCTTGTATTGGATTGAATATATTTTTCTTTTTTTAAGTAAGGTAATTTTATCTCTAAACAAGTGTTTGCTTACTTATCCAGTAGAAATCATTTATGCAAAAAATTGTATTTGCTGTATACATTCTTTCTCTTTTCATAAATACATGATATTATTATTCAACGAAAGTTATTTTTTGTGGAGGAAAAAATCAGCTTTTTAATCGACCTTTTTTGGGTAATTGTTACCTTCCACAATCTGAAAAATATAAAAATTATAATGGAGAACTTTATATAAGTGTAGAAGGGCAAACTTTTTAGTTTACCCCGATAAGTTACTGCGTAAAAATCAAAGTATTTTTCACAAAGAAAAATCTTCTATTTATCAGTAACTTGTCGTATTTAATTCTCCGATATCAGTTTGTTGCCATTTCGCCACTATCCAAAACTTTCTTCAAGATGGATAGCCAAGAACGGTCTATTTCTAAGGAGCTATTTTATATTTTTCAGATTGTGGAAGGTAACAATTACCCAAAAAAGGTCGATTAAAAAATGATATTATTATTATTATTTTACTGTGGTGTGCGCTGGTCAGGCCCTATCCCCTGAAGCCTCGATACATTCGGGAGGGCGCGTCAGCATTATCAACCAATGACCACTCCCCACACCGTGGGGTAAGTGATCATTGGGTCCGAGAATCATGTGCCCTGAGCAAGCGCAGTGAGCCAAGAATGACAGCCTTCTGCATCTGTGCGGATAAGATTTCTCCCTTAGTGTGGCAAGCGGCAAGCGTGACTTGCCAGTTCATGAACAAATGTATAATAATGTGAATGAAAATAAAATACTACCACCACATCAACATGGATTTAGGCCAGGTCATAGTACTACTACTGCACTCTTGGGAATAACTGATGAAATTATAAATAATCTAGATAAACGTAAAACACAACTTTCATTATCCATCGATTACAGCAAGGCCTTTGATACAATGAATCATCATTTAATGTGTACCAAAATGAAATATTTTGGCTTTGATAATATGTCGTGCTCATTCATTGAATCCTTTCTAAATGATAGAACTCAACGTTCTCAGGATAATGAGTTCTCAGGATAACATAGTGTGTTATCGGCAAGTCTTGGGCTACACCTGCCGATATAAAGGAGATGTATCCAAGTGACCTGTTCAGCTTTCTGGAAAGGACAGGATAGACGATGACCTAAGAGGACAACTCCTCGGGAGGATGTACAATGAGTCTCATGTGGCCTAAGTGATGTGGGCGTACACTCTCCCTCCCTACTCTACAGATACAGTATTCACATTTTACGAAACGGTCAATTTGAATTTTTGTCGCCGATATGGCGGAAAAATTCGAATTTTTTGGTAATTCATTTTCCATCTACTTTGCAGTTGAAAGAATTGGACCCCGAAAACTTGTTTACCAGTTTTTTTTATTTATTTTCAAACAGGTGAAAACCACATTACATGAACATAATTATTCCTATGAAAATGTCAATACAGTCTAAATCATTAATATAATATTTATACGTGAATACAGTTACATTGTATCTAAGAGTACTTACTACATAAAGCCGAATGGAAGGAAAAAACATAGTTAATAGTATATTGTGTAACAAGTGCGTGAAATCGACTTTTTTACACAAGCGTGGAATTTGCGACACGAGCCCTCAGGCGAGTGTCGCAAACAACGCGAGTGTAAAAAAGTCTTCACGCACATGTTGCACACTATACTTTTTCTACGACCATACAGAGAAAATTAAGCACCATTAGTTTAAAGAGCTTTATTGAATTTCAGAATAATTAGTAAGTACCTATATTATAAAATTAACAATTAATTCTTATACTGAGATTATTATTTTTGGTTTTCATTCTGATGTGGAACAATAATGATTATTAATAGTAATATTGGAACCTGTGACCATTCCAAAACTTACACCTGCAGCATTTGATTTTTCTATTAGTGTGTTTCTTGACCTGGAAGTTGAGATGATAGAAGTAGTGGCGATAGGGGCTGAGGAAATTTGATTTTGAGGCGATAAAATTTTATTTGCCACATCAATTTTCTGAGTAATTGAGTTTTCTATATAATGCTCTGCCACTGCAGAGGATTTCCAACCTCCATGTTATTTTAAGGTAAGCAAATCGCCTCCAGCTTCTACTAATAACGTGGCGGATGACCGCCTAAAACAGTGGCATGTATATTGTTCAGCATGAGGTATATTTAGGTATTTTGCGATTACCGAAGGAACTTTACCAATTTTATTCATACCAACGATCTGGCAGGTACATTTTCCACCTTGATAATTAATAAATAATTTTTTTTCTGCGTGTTTTTGCGGACGGAGTGCCGTATATTTTCGGTATAATTCAAGATGTTCCGTGATGGTAAATTTTCTTGAGATTTTGGTTTTTGTATAATGGACGTTTACTATGAGTATTGCACCTAAATCTTCAATATCATCTAATTTCAGTTTATACAGTTCATCTCTTCTAAGAGCTCCAGCAAGTCCCAATATTAGTATAACCTAAAAGAAAAAGAAATTACAATATAGAAACTTAAAAAAGATTATGGCTGTAAGAAATCGAACCCAGGTCCTTGGGCGCGCGAGGCCAACGCACTACCGCTGAACCATTCGTATTTTCCATTCGTATGTGTGAAAACGCGATTCTCAACGCCCAATTTAAAATAATTTAGAAGATCATAGTTAGATATCACATTAACATAGTTTTAGATAATATATCTGATTTGGCCAACTATACTTATTAGGATCTACTTAATTTATAGATATTATTTTCTATTTATTTAATACTACCGTGAGACATTAAACTTACCTTGGTCAATAAAAATTTTTCTTCAGGAGCTTCTTGTATAAACTTCAGTATTTGTTCTTTTTCCAAAACTCTGGATTTTTTGGGAACGTATCCCTCACTCTTCCTTTTTAAAAAAGCACGTACCTCAGGATAGTCGATATTTATGTTTTTTTTAATGCTGATGGTACTTTTTAGCATTGAGAAATGACTCCAAAGTGTTGCTGCCTTAAAGTTCTTGGATAATTCTGACAAATATGCCAATACTACGTTTTCAGAAAATGAATTGATATTCTTTGTTTTCCTCCATGCCATGAATTTCTCATACGTATTTTCATACACGCTCAATGATTTTTGGGATAATAAAGTCTTACTAGCCTCATTGGCTGCATCCATAACATCCGGCGGGGTACTTCGTATATCTGAATGATCAGAATCCATTATAATATAATGTTAAAATATTAATAATTAACTCTCAACAATGAGCTCACAACAATAATGATCAAGCTATTTTGACAGTTTATTTATGATTTATTGCTGCTCTTAAACAAAAGATGCACTAAGGCCGCCTATCAGCGAAATATTCATGTTATAGGTCTTATGGACAGACTACAATGTATTTCTTATAAGTATATTTCACGCACTGGTAATAAAAACACTTGAATGTACCATGTTATTCTTATGGGTTTATTTCACGCCCTAGGGCGTAAAAATAATTTCACGCACAAGGGTGTGAATTTACATTTTACGATTCGTGAACGGTGTGTGAAAGTACTATTTCACGTACGGGAGTAGAAAAAGTATTTTTTTACACCACTATAAATTTGTTTGGGAGGGAGAACAAAGTTGATTTCCGACATTGACAGTTATTTTGATCGTTGTAATGATAGGTGAATAGTTATTTGTTGATACATATGGTACATCAAAGAATTGAATGAGTCTTGTTGTTCATTTGGGAATCCTCTCTTTCAGTAAAGATTTGAGATTGGGACAGTTATAATTTTTTTTATATATTTTATAACACATTAACACTATACTTGCCTGTCTTCTATTTTCTAGACTGGGTATTTTAAATTCATTTCGTAGTGCTACTGTTCTAATTGTATTATAATCCGGGTATACTTTATATTTCTTGTAATATAAAAATCTCAGAAATCTGTTTTGAATTTTTTCTAATCATTTTTATGAACAATATGGGAAGGATGCCATACTACAGCCCCATATTCAAGTTTAGGTCTGACCAAACTATTCTAAAAAGTAGTAATCACTTTAATATCATTGAAATGTGCACTTTGTCTCATTATAAATCCCTTAATTCTCAGTGCCTGAGTATATTTTCTGTTGTTTACACCGCAAAAATACCATTTCCATTTATTAACGAAACGATTGTTCATAATTCATGTAAAAAATATTCATTTCGCATTAATGTAGACTGTAGACCATTATAAGTAATTCTCGACTGGATACTTTCTTCGGTATTTTGAAAATAACAGGAATATAAATAAATGTCAGAATATTTCAATCAAGTTCACCAAAAAGGCTTAGAAACAAAGCGTTCACACATCCAAAAATAGATATCGTTGCAATATGATTACAAACAGCGTGTGTACAAAAAAAAACTTTATCACGTTATCAGTTCGACAATGCTGATTGTTTGGTATATCATTTATCAAAGTTCAAGTTGTATTTGGTTTGATAATGATATCAGACAAAGCGTCTCTGAATATATCACTTTGACGTACTTTCGAACTTCTATATATCGCGATGTTGCAATAACTACAAGTAGTAGACAAAAAACAGAATGGGAAATTATACTAGACAATTTCTCTTGGTTGATACTGACCCATGGTGAGAAGATGGTACCGGTACGTCGATGATTTGCGAACCAGTTCTTTTTCTGTCTCCAGCCATATCGGCCAATCGTGCAAAGTCGGTGTCCTGATCGGCCAATCGAGCAGATTTTCTCGATTCCAAGAGGCGAACCTCTTCTAAGCGTTTTTGCACCTCGAATGGGGCCTGAAAAAAATACACAAAATGATTGATGATGATAAGGGAGAGAGGAATATGATGATTAATTCATCCTTACACACAATGACAGAAGCATTTAAATATCACATCTATTAGTGTGAATTCACACTTCAAAGTAATATAAAATATTTGAATATAATATTTGATTCCGTGTTAGGAATCACACGTTAAAAGGTAAGACCTCGTTAGTCGTTAGCTCGCACAAGTTTCTCAACTTCTGAGAGTTGTTGTTCGTATGGGGGCGGCAGCTGATTAACGGAAAAACAGATTTAAAAACAGATTTAAACAGATAATACAGTGTGACCCATTTTTGATGGAAACACCCCCCTAAAAATTTGAAGTTGTAAATCGTCGACGAAGCAAGACGCCTGGAATATTGTTTATGGGCCCAAGGGAAATATATAAACGATAGAAATTTCCTAAAAAATATTTTATATACCGACGAAGCCACTTTCACTACAGATGGAGTAGTGTCATCACAGAATTGTCGCTATTGGGCAGCGGATAATACTAACTGGGTAATAAACTGTAAAAGCCAGTATTCCCAAAAAATCAGCGTCTGGTGTGGGATATTGAACGAACGAATTATTGGTCCTTTCTTTTTTGAGGAAAACATTAATGCGCAGAGGTATCTAGAATTTTTGAAGACAGAGTTTTGGGATGCTATTCACGAGCTGCCAATCGATGAACGATCAAATTTAATTGTCCAGTTAGATGAGTGTTCAGTTCATTATGACAGAGCTGTGAGGCAATGGCTTAACGAACATTTTCCAAACCGATGGATAGGCCGTGGTAGTCCGTTTATAGAGTGGCCACCCAGATCTCCAGACCTCACAGTTTTGGACTTTTTTCTCTAGGGACTTCTCACACAAAAGGTTTGCAAAAACCGCTCAAGAGATAGAAATGAACTTTGTGCAAGAACTCGACAGATTTGTGCAGATATTCGCCCTCAAGAACTAAGGAACGTAATCAGAAACATTCGTAATCGCTACGACACATGTATCGAAATACTTGGTAGATTAGTAAAGGCTACTAGAATATGAGTTAGAATTAATTGTTGCACTGAATCGAAACATTTCAATAATTAGTTATCAGTTACGTTTATTAAAATTTATTGCTTCATTGTTAGTTGAATTGGGTGAATGTAATTCCGTTATTTTCATCAAAAATATTTACGCTATTTGTTTTTTTTCATCTGGCGGCACTTTATTGTTGAAATCATAAAAAAATGATATATTGTGACTGTTAGCTGTGTGAGTTTTAGAATTTTTGAGTTGTCATAACTTTGTTAATAATGAATATTTTTTCATGAAATTTTGGTCACACCTATTTAGAGGCACTCTGAATCCAGTGGTGTAGTGATTTTTTTCAATAAAAAAATCGCTAATAAAAATCCCGATTTTCGACTGAGAAAAAATATCGTAGTATGCCCTGAAACTTTAATAAACATTTCAAATTATTAAAATCGATTTACAACTTCAAATTTTAGGGAGGGTGTTTCCATTAAAAATGGGTCACACTGTATATTAATCATCATTTCTACAATGCATACAAGTGACAAAAAGTTGGAGACTAGACAGCATTTACAGAGTTTAAATCGGTGATCATGGCAAGAGATGTCAGTATCAATATTTTGACAGGTAGTAATAATTTTCGGAACCTAATAAGATATCCTATATCAATCCCAAAATTTGGATTGATTTTCAAAAAATTGCTTTAAGCAAACGTCTATGTCACATGAATTAATCAAGTTATTATGGAATCAAGTACTTTACTTGGCAACATTTCGAAAATTATCGATTTGCACACTTGGTGAACTCAGGATAAAACCCTTGCATATAAAACGACAATTTCTTGAATCAATATTCATTATTATCATTATTGTTGTAAATCATGCTCGAAAGAAAATAACGCCAGCCGCCAAAATAAACTAAACGTGACACATGAGATTTCAAATAATCAATAATGTGCGTTACTCGCATTGTACAATGAAACTACTGTCGAAAATTCGATTAAACATGAATGTAGTTATAGAAAAAAATAATTTAAAACCAAAAAACAGTCTTCAAATGAAGATTATGATAATAGATTTATCTAAACTATATCCATCCAATAAACGAAGAAACCAAAACAAAGAAGGATTAGTGATCAAAGTATGATCACCACGCACATTTGCATCCATTGGGTGAAATAAACAAGCCTCCTTACGCTGACGAATCAAATTTAACTGCAATCGGCTAGCGGAATTCATTCTTATAGTCACAGCTAATTTGTAAATTTCACTAATTCGGACTTCCATTGTCTACTATATAATAGTAGTAAATGGTAATATAGTAGACAATGGAAGTCCGAATTAGTGAAATTCATCACGAAACATTGTCAATCACCTTCAAACAAACACAGCTAATTTGTGTTCCTATACTCCACCTAAAAAAAATCCTATACCCAGCAGCATATTACTTATTTAAAAAAATCGATCGTTCCTTAGTGCGACTCTGTACAAGCAGCCTTGTCTGGGATATCAAATGCACTATGCATGGTAATGTTCTGGCCACTCCATTGCTTAGATGGACAGAGTATATATTTATTAACATATCGCAGGTTTTCTTCCTTTCATTGCTGAACTGCAAAGATGATAGTTCGTTCCATTCAAATTCTAGGCGTTTATAAGTGGAAGACGAATTTAACATATGACTCTCACTGGTTTATATTTGTATATATGCAAAGATTGATACAGGATGACGCGATGAGGATCAAATGAGGTCGCTACAACAGCATATTTATCATAAAAATGCAATCAGGCATGTTTTTACAACATATGATATAACCGCGTTTATTGGATTTCAAACAAATGCTGTCGCCAAGCTGGCTGGCAGTTTTCGAACTGATAATCGTTGTTAACAATTTCAATCAAATAAATAATAAATTCAGCCAAATGAAGTAAAGAATGTTCGCTGCTTCATTTTGAAATATTATCTGGTCATATCAGTGGAATTCATATTAACCTGCTCAATTAGCATTTTTCACATAACTAAACAAATTAACAAGTTTTTAGCAGCAAATGAAAGAGTACTCTTTAAAGTTTGTACAAGCTTTGGGAAATTTAATAAATTGTTTCCATCATCAGGAATGCTACAATTTGAGGGTGTAACTAATATTAATATATTGCGATTGTAGACACTATCCTGAAAGATGTGCTTTAGCTGAACATGTCAACAAGTCTGACCATCATATGAATTTTGATGCCACTAAGGTCTTAGCTAGTGAAACACATTTAACAAAAAGGTCCTTTCTTGAAATGGCCTTCATTGCTGAAAATAAAAATTGCATTAACAAAAAAAAACAGATATTAATCATCTCAGTGAGATATATTCCTATCTTTTGACGTTGAATAAAAATCCATATAACAATGTTTCAATGAATTCATAAAATCTAGCATCAATAGAATAATGTACTTTATATTTTAATTCAAATGATATTATCCTAAATTCACTTTTAAAATCTACACAAGTAGAAATTTCCAAAGAATACTTTACAATTTGAAGTTGGCAACAGATTTTATCACTAGAACAACGGACATGTCAACTATCTGTCAATCTTTACCAAATGAAACGTTTTGTGAAATTTCGACATGTGACATTATTCTTCTTCAAAACAATTTTAAACTGTAACGTAAGAAGCTAGCCACTCGCGCCAGCGAAACGTCAGGAAGAAATTCCAAAAATCCACGGCTTTCAAATTCGAAAAACAGTGACACTGAAAACCTCAGCCGCGAAAGTCTAAACCATTTTGTTCAATAGTACAATTGAAGTGAAAGTTGTACATAATTCATGCTCCAGAATATATATTTTTGTTAACTGCCACTGCTTTTATTATCAGCTCTGATAAGTATATTCCAATAATTTAAAATCCATTGCAGCAGTTGTATCGCCAACAGCATATGCAGAAATAACTTCAGTGAAGAATCCTGCACCGACACCTGTCGGATATAATCCAAAACCCTTCGTGGTATTAGCCAGGGGAGTAGTTTTCTGATAGGTATCAGTTCATTAACCTACAGTGTAGGGAGTTGCGACTGCCTGAACAAATTGTTCCTTTGGATGATTTGATTTTCATGACATTTTTGAAGATACAATTGAGAAGTCAAAATTCATTGCTTTCCAAAAAAACTATTTTTTCTCATTTCATTTGGCTAATTAGTCCAATCTTTATTCAATGTAGACTTACCAACTTTGAGTACTGCGGTACATTTAATTAATATAGTCTATAAGTTATAAAATAAATAATAATGTTTTCTCTTATATCAGAACGTTTCACCCATCACGTTGATATCATCAGAATATGACCTGAACTATTTAAAAAGAAGTTTTTATCACCTAATGGCGCCAAAGTGGTTCGTTAATTGCATTTGCAAAAACTTTTCACAGTTTTGGTGTGGAGATATTTCTTAAGCAAGATGTTCCCTTTCTACTATCCGGTGATTATGAATCATTTTTGAGCAAAGAAATGGTGGAAATTCATTTTTTTATTAGTTCACAGAGAGTGTTCAAGCTAAACAAAAACAGAGCAGCCGTTGTTAAGAATGTTGACGTAGATTTAAGGAAAACGGAAGGACTCGTCGATTTTTTATCGAAGGGGGCCCCTCTCTCTTAAACTGCCACTCCACTTCCACTCTCCCCTGAAGGCGACAATTGCCCCAAAATTATCCCAGGGCATGGGGTCATGCCCTGGAATAGTGTTTTTTTACAGAAGTCTTAAAATTTTTATATTCCACCTAATTATTATATAGAAAATTACTTTTGATAATCATAATTCATGTGGTTATTTACTACACTTGTTGATTGAATGTTCAAACTGATGAGACCTTGCGTCAACACAATATTGAATATGTTCAAAACGTCCTTGCAGTACGATAAACTATTGAATTTGCTTATCGAGTAATGATTATTTTACATTCCGGTTTGATGGTGTTGTCTCTACGAAGCCCG